TCAGATAAGACAACCAACTCTGTTCTGTCAGTCAGTCACCTCTATATTGTTGCATATTATCGTTGCTGTTTCCCTGATATGTGATTCTTATTATTTATTTCAGCAAAAATAAAACAACTGACAAATACGCTGAGATTTGTAAAATGTGCCAAAGAAAAGGGTTCCATGAACTGAAGTGCACTGGATATACATTGGAGAAGGACAAACCATGATTACTCAGACAACATATTAAGTATTAGAAGAAATTAAAAAAAGAAATGCTTTGAGAAATTGAAAAGGGAATGTTCAGCATTACCTAATATTACTGTTTCTTTCACAGGTCTGTAGGATAGAGAGCTCCAGAGACTGCCATCATCATTATTCAGTTAGGAAGTGCAATGTTGTCAGAAACTGGCATTTGATGAGAACGATGTCAGTGTAATCAACTATGAAAACCATAGGGCATTTTTCCACATGTTCATTGGAATCCCTGAATTTCTATGTCTTTATTTTTCATGATATTTGCATCTTTCAAGAAACTGTATTTAAGTGAGACTGGTAACTGTTTGTATTGCCATAATTAAAGTTTGGCCAAGAATGAAATAGTTGTCAACTACAGACTAGGAAGATAGAGAACATGTAGATCAGAAAATTAAGTGGAGAAAAAAAGAGTCAGGAATAAATTTGACATGAGAGGGAATCCAAGTGCAGCATACACTTTGAATCTAGACTTCTACAGGCTCAGACTGGAACCAGATGGGATGGGAAGACCTTGGGAGGGATACTAGGTGAGCTTCATGGACTTCGGCAATGATTCAGCATTTGTTCATCACCTGGATTGAGATGGGTGGATGCTCTGAACTTTTGAGGACAAGACTAGGATGGATAAGTGTTCAGAGGCGAAAAGGAGCTCATCACAGGCTTGTAAAGCATTTACTCATTTGTTTCTGAACACTATCAATCAATTCATATTCTACTCATATCCTAATGAATTAATAATTATTATAAAAAGCTGACTTGGTTGTATCATAAACATTGCCTTCTTTGGAAAGTTCTGCCTCATCAAAACATGTTTCTATAAACGTTACTATAATTTCTGCATCAAGCTAAGAGCTCAGAATCACAGGCATAAGAAGAATTCACAAATTGCAATGTGAATTTTCAAGAGGAAATTCTTCCTTATTATACTGCCTGTGGCCCTGTTTTCAGCATTCGTCAAGGCATTCAAGGGTCTTGTCATCTTTGGCTCCCAGACTGTCTTCCCTACACACTAGATGTGCTGTTAGTCTGGACACTCAGTGAATAATCTTAGAATTCATCTGAATGCATGTGATTGTCTAAGTTCCGGCCAAAGGGTTTTAAATGACTATGTCCTTTGTTCCAAGTATGCTTGTGCATCCCTTTCTGGGTGATAGACAACATACAAATATGTGACAAAAGCAAAAAGCACAAAATTTGATAAATTGTATGTGACAAAATATAATCCTTTGTCACATGGTCAATGTGACATGTTACTGCATACATTCTGAAAGTTTATAATGTGTGTTTTCTGAAATGTCTCCTTTTTTACTTGAAAATATGAAATCCAGTTTTTAGCCATTTATTTGAAGTCTTATAACATAATATGTATGATGCTAGAAGCACAATGTTAATTGGTAGGCAACCAAGTCCAGGATTTCTATTTTTGATTACACAAAAAGAATGTAATAGAAAATACATTATAAATTCACTGATGCCCAATTTTATGTTGAAATTGAAATAGCAGTTACATAGAAGTCATACTGAAAGGCATTGCCCAAGCAGACTCAGTGCCCTGAGGTTTCTCCCTGGAGTCTCAAAGCCCCTTAGCATCTAGAGATCATACTATATTTATTTAGTATTGAGATAGGTCAAGCAATACAAGCATTGAAATTGATTGGTCATCTTTGGTTTGTGTGTACATATTCATGGGAGTGCACCTGCATGCATGTGCATCCGTGTGTAGAGATGAGAAAGGTTCTTGCTAGGTTTCTTCCACATTCATCTCCATGTTGTATTTTGAGACAGGAAATCTCACTGAACCTGGAATTTATTATTTCATCTGCATTGGCTGGCCCTTAAGTCTCAGAGAGCCATCTATCTCTGCTGACCCAGACTGGGAATACAGACACCAATGTTTTCATTTGGGTTCTGCAAGTCCTGTCATAGTTTCTCGTGATTGCACAGAAAACATTGTACCTACCAAGTCTTCTTCCCAACTCCCCAGCCTACTTTTAAAATAAAATAGCAAAATTTAAACTTGTTCTAATTTTTTTTAACTTAAGTCTATAATATTTAACTTAATTCTTATAGATTGACAATATTGGAAGATAGTGGGACCACTAAGGAGTGGAGCATAATGGGGCTTCCTTAAGTCAACTAAAGTGTAGTCTTAGGAAAGACTGGGGGATCCACGTTTATCTCTGGCTTCCTATTTTGTGAAACAGTCTTTTCCCCTATCTATCCCCCTTCTACTGTCTATCTAGAGCCTTCTCAGCCTCTAAAACCACCAGCTCAATAAGCCATTTTTCTTTTATTATTAACTTGCTTCAGCAGTTCATCTGTTTTCGAAACAGACCAATACTGGCCTGGTGATATAGTTCAGAGGAGAATACTTGCCTAGCATACACAAGCCCTGGGTTCAGTGCTCAGGATCAAAACCTGACACTTTACACTAGTTGAATCTATACTTCTTTAATATCTATACTTGGCAATGATTTGGCTCTTTCTTGGTAATATGGACATGATGTCATAAAGAGCACACATTGTTAAGACCAGTGCTGCCATGTAAGAACACACAATGCTTTATTCTCTCCCCTAATCTTCTCTGGTCAATTTGTTTCTCTGATTCTTTTTATTGAATATATAACTTTTATTGAAATATAACTTACACACAATAAAATTCACATTTAAAGACTTTCAGTGGATTTTAGTATTTCTACAAAATTATACAAATATCAGAACTGTTTAATTCTGACTCATTTCCATCTCTCCAGGAAGCAGCCATTCTCTGTTTTATTCCAACTCTGTGGTTGCACTTGACATCCATTACTTTCCATCTCTGAAATTGTTTGCTCATTATATACAATATTACAGACCCTGTTGTAATATTTCATATAAATTGAATCAAATAACTTTCACCATTTGTACCATGTAGCCTAATGGTTTTGTGTTCCACTTAGCATAATGTTTTTAAGGTTCTTTTATATTGTCATATGTATCAGTATCCCGTTACTCTTACAGCTATGCCACATTTTGTTGATCTACTCATCAACTGATAGATACTTAAGTTGTTTCTGTAATCAGTACTGTCAACATTTATGTATGCATTTTCTATGGACATGTTTTCACTTCCTATAGGTGCATGGCTACAAGTAGAATCATTGGATCCTTGCTAATTGTATTTTCATTCTTTTCGGAAAATGTCAGGCTATTTTCTCATCTGTTACACCATTTTATGCTCCTACCATAAATGTATGAGAGCTACAGCTTTTTTTCACATTCTTTTCCTTAACAACACTTTTAACTGTGCAGTTTTTATCACCCTCAAATTAAATAGTATCTTATAGTCATTTATTTCCAAGATTAGCGGGATAATTTTCTTAGAATGAAGAGTACTCTGAGAATTCTCTTTTTCAGTTTTAATATAAACACTGTTAATGTACTATTACTATTATTACTGTATTTCCACATTCTCAGTCCCATTTTTTTTTTTTTGTTCAGCAGTATGAAACTCATTTCAAATCAAAGGAGTCTCTTTAGTGGCATTGTTAGCACTTATGGCCTTCACTAGCTTCCTACTTGTTTGTCTCTTATCTCTCTCTAAATGAATTCAGGAGTATCATCCATAAGGACATGGTTCCTACTAGCGTTATTTTTATGTGGTCATGGTTTTTGGAGTTCTCTGTGTAAATGCACTGAACAGTGTGCAGTGACAAAGACTCTCTATGGCAAGCATGTTTGGTACGGGGGATTTCACTTGCTTATAGCTGGATAACATACTATCACATTTTTCTCTTTTTAATCTCAGGAGAGGCATTTCATCTTTAGAAAAATACATTTCATTCCTTGTCATATTAAGATGTGATATTATTGTATTGATTACAAAATTGTACTACACATAATCAGAAACAGAAGTGGTGAGTGTGGAGATTATAACACAATTTAGGGTGAATTCTGCCATTGGCTTGTAACTTTATTTCCTTGCATCTTTAACTGACTCTTTAGCATTTTGAGATGCTAAGCCTCACTAAGAGATGAGGCTGAAGAAAGATGTTCATAAGATTTCCTCCTGGAATAACAGTGTCATTCTACGTTTCATGGAGGATTCTTTAATCGGAGTATTTTTTCCTACTGCTTATTCCTAAGGTTGTTATATCTAACATTTTTATTATTAAGTATACCACATTTCAAATGAATTAAAGAGTAAACCACAGGCATCAAGCAAAGTAGTAACATACTGATACTTTTAGGGTACAAGTTTTTGCTGAGTCATATACCCGTGCGTGTGTGTGTGTGTGTGTGTGTGTGTGTGTGTGTGTGTGTGTTTGTGTGTGTGTGTTTGTGTGTGTGTGTGTGTGCCTATAGTATATTTCCTTCAAAAACATCAAGTGTACCTGTGTTGCTTGTAGCCACATTTTGATTTTGGTTCCTAGGGGTAAGTTTTACTGTTTTAAGCCCATGTTACCAGACACTAAAGAAAGGACTTTCCAAACACTTTGATTTATAAAATATTTTACTTGCTAAGATTTTAGACCTATCCAGGGCCTTAGCCTCCAGTGAGTAACAGTATCTGAATAGTTATTTTCTGTGGATTAAAAGTTGATTGGAAAAAGAATCTTAAGTTTTGATTTTGTACAATGACTGTATGAGTGTTAACTGAAATTTTGTCTGGTTTCCTGTGCCTTGTTCTGAACACTGGGGATATTTTTGAGACTGACTGGATACAGCCATTGCTGATTCATTACTAATTCCTTTCTCTTTTACTGTGTTTATTTCTGCAGGATGTTTTTACCCCAGAATGCAAATTTAAGGAGTCTGTGTTTGAAAACTACTATGTGATCTATTCTTCAACCCTGTATCGCCAGCAAGAATCAGGGCGTGCATGGTTTCTAGGACTCAATAAAGAAGGTCAAATCATGAAGGGGAATAGAGTGAAGAAAACCAAGCCTTCATCTCATTTTGTACCAAAACCTATTGAAGGTATGAAAGCAACTTCTTTTCTTCTTGGGAACCTGATCTATGTGCTGGGAATGGTGCTTCTTGTCCTTTGTTCTGTAGGCTCCACCTGAAGTGAAATGATGGAGCAAAGATTCAGAAAATATAATAGGAACTTTCCTAACAAAGATAAAACTAGAGTAGAGAACTCTTGTAAATATGTGGTACCTAGAAAAAATGTACTTGAATATGGAAGTTAGAAAATTCCTGAATATAGAAAATTAGTGTCAGGCTGGGCAGTGGTGGCACATGCCTTTAATCCCAGCACTTGGGTGACAGAGGTAGGTGGATCTCTGTGAGTTCGAGACCAGCCTGATTTACAAGAGCTAGTTCAAGAACAGGTTTAAAAAAAAAAAGGAAGGAAGGAAGGAAGGAAAATTACTGTCATTTACCATTTGGAATATAATTTCCTACCTTGTTGAACACTATTCCATTTTTCAGAATACCTCTGAAAAATACTAATACTATTATTACAGAGCTTAATTTTTTCAAGTAATTTTGTACATATGTGTGATGCTGACCTTTTCATCCCTATGAGAAAATATAATAACATTGTTTTCTTCATATTTGTGAGGAGCGATAGTGTGTTATTTCGTTTGATCTGCAGTATTTCCCTTTTCATTTGAACCTAAAAGTTGCTCCCTTTTCATCACTTAAAATAGTGTTGACTTGTTTCAAATTGAGCAGTGAAATAATTCTTTTGAAGGAAGCTATTTTTTTCCTCAAAATTCTCTACTTAGGAAGGCTGTTGAGTGACCATATTTGCAATGCAGACCAAAGAATAATTATATGTTGACACTTACAATATAACATTGTTCTCTGTAAACCATTATATTAGCTTAAACCATGGCTCAATCTCCTTTCCTGAGGAAATGAGATCATTGAGACAGTGTACTGCAACCCTGACTTAGATTGACTTGCTCTCCTGTAAATGCCAGAGATGTGGTCACTTGCAGAGTATGCACGATGCCAGCTGCCCAGTGTACATCCATTAAGTGTGACTACAGCAGACTGTGGTAGTCAACCACAACCTAGCTCTTGTTATGTTATGTGTGGAATGCTGGGTAGAAGGTGACTGTCACTACCCCTAATGCCTCTTGAGCCTTTTCTCATCTGAAACTGAGTTTGTACTATGCTTGGCCTCCTGTTTTCTATCTCACCGGCCCTAATTTTCATCCACACATCTGCTTAATAACCTTTGTAAAGAAGCAATTCAAGAGTCCATACTTCTGTTATTAGTTTTTTCTGACTTCTTTACCAGAAGAATTAAGCACTATTTCTTGTATCTTCTATATGTTTTTCTGATGATCAAGTTGTACTAGATGTGCCTATTGTCCCACTGTCTCTGTCCATTCACGATTAACTCATTCTCTGAATGAATGGAATATATTTGTTTTTGTTTTTTTTTTGTCACATCCCTCCTGTGTCATGTGAACCACTTAGCATGTCATAAAGAGATATTTGATATGTTCTCAGCTGAATAAGTGAGCATGTGCAGGAATAAAGTCAGTGTAAAGTCTAAGAACTATATTTTCCAGAGGATATATTCTTAGAGGTATGAAATATGGTTACTAGTGGCAACAGTGTAGTGAAAAAGGTAGTTATTTCATGTTGTAGAATTAATATGAGAGAAAGTATTGTCATTTCTGCAGAAAGGAAGATATCATTGAGAACTAGGTCAGACTCATACAAATGGGGTCAAGGAGGAATCTCCCAGACAAAGCCATTACACGTACACTATAGTTAAAGGCAGAGATGCACCTGCTTTGGAGGGCTGAATAAAAGATCCCTACGAGGTAGATAATACTGCTATTGGAAATATACAGTTCTGAGCAATGCTTTGGCAAATAACACTTTCAACTTCTGTATCATTTTTTAACAGTGAAGCTGTTGTATTCATTTTTGCAACAGTATTACAAGACCACTAGCAAACTTTGGTAGAGTAGAAAAATATCTTAAAAATCTGAGTTTTAATTATTCTTTATATAGATAGTGGAGTCCTGTGGAACCCTACACACTCCATTCCCCCAAAGGAAACATCTATAATCTGCCTCCTTAATTGGCACTGCTTCCTGTACTCTGGTTGGTTGAGTTTTCTCTTGGGGTGGATGGCCTTATGTGCATGTCAAAAAGAAATGCGTGGGATGACTGTGTGCAGAGTCCCAGATGTGCTTCAGTGTTCTGCTTATTGCTGCATTTTGTACAAATAAGGGAAGGTACAAGAAGACTTACAGTGCTATAAACTAGACTTAAGATTGATCTCACATAATACATGTCAATTGCAGATTGCTCATGCTAGTTCTCTCAGAAACTAAATCTGGAGGTGAGCTCTCCAGGAATGGTGCCATGGTGTCCCAAATTGGGGGCTTTGGGGGCTTGACTCTTTCACGTCCTTTATCTTAGTGTCTTGCTGTGATTCCTTAGATCTGCACAGTGCAGCCAGAATGATGCACAAAATGTAGCTCCATGTGGAGTGCACTGTGCACTGCACTTTAGTCAAAACTACATGCTCACCATGTGTGATCCTGCCAATGACATTACCAGAGTCACAGAGCAAGGAGGAACTAGAAGAAGGGATTGAAAATCCATGCAACTTTACATGTCAGCTTAGTCTCCAATAGCTGCCACACAATCCTAACACCTTAGTGGCCACGCCTAGATGGTTAGATGGTTAGCCATACTTAGGTACAGAGGAGATGAACATATAACCTTTTGATGTATGGCTTCATGCCAAATACATATTCAGATCTGGGACGACAGTGGTAGAATAGGCACCGAGACATCAGTTTCTGCTTCTGGATTGCATCTTCTTCACTTGAGAATGTCTTGGGTTCCCTTACTGGCAACATTTTAGTTGTTTGTTTAAGTTTTGCTTTTACTGGTGAATTATGAGGATTTCTCCTTTTATACCAGGAGGAAAATAGCATCTGTTTTAAAATCAGATTCACTAATACTAGAATTTAATTCCAAGGTCCTTCTCATGGTTCATTTGTAGAGAAGAACTCTCAGGTGTGAAGTTCAAAGAACTTGATGAGACTAACTTTTGAAGCTAGAAACTTAGTTGCTTTCCCATCAAGGACCATTGAATTCCCTGTGGATGTGCTTGCCATTTTTCTTAAAAAAAAATATTCTTCACCAAACAAAATTAGTTAAGTTTTATGATTCTTTCTCCTTCTAGGTGGTGTTTTAAAGTCTGCCTCAATTATTTTTTCATTTTATTCCATTTTTACGAAGTAGGTTCTAGCATAATTTGCTTCCCAAATGGTGTAGTTGAAGCAAAGACACCAGTGTGCAATTAGTCCTGAGTCATGGAATCAGTGAGTATCAGAGCTGGAATTCATACCAAAGCACAATGCCTCAAACAGTCAAGTGATGAACTTCCATGAACATGGGTGACACAGGCTGGTCTGAAGTCAGGAAGGTTGTGGATGTAATCAAATTACATCCTAGGCAACAGGACTCAACACTCTTGTACATGTCTACTCATGGTTGTATCACCTTTACTTCTCATGGAATATAGCACAGTGTAGAAATAAAACTCCTCACAGATCTTTGGAGAGATTCATGCTCTTAAACCTAACTTGATTGTCAGGTGGTGGTGCATGCCTTTAATCCCAGCACTTGGGAGGCAGAGGCAGGTGGATTCCTGTGAGATAAAGACCAACCTGGTCTACAGAGCTAGTTCTAGGACAGCTAGGAATGTTACACAGAGAAACCCTGTATCAAAAAAACAAAACAAAAAAATTACTTGATAAACATAAATTGGTCAGGTCCTTTATGCTTATAAATATTCTGTTATAATTGTCAATATGGAAAATTTCCATCAATAATCTAAGAAGCTATATTTTTATAACATTGGGTTTCCATTAGTAAGAAAGATAATTGAGGTCATGTTAAGATGTTAAGCTTTTTTCTGTATTTGAGAACTTTTTCCTTCCTGCTGGCTTTCCAAGCTATTCTTGCAACATATCAATTTAGTATTCACTAGGCAGGTTGTGTATACTATCTGTATTTCCAAGAATCACAATAGCCCTAGGTTATTCTTATTTTATAGATGAAATGACTAATATCTAAACAAATTATGTAAAGCATCCAATATCACAAGTCTAGAAAAACACAACAGTAAGATTACAATCCAGCAAGTTCAGTGCCAGTGGTTAAGCACCTACCCCTATATTATAATTCCCTGCTATTGGGAATAAGCTATGAATATCCAGCTACTCAAAGAAGTTAGTGACAATGAGATGGTGATGTAGAAATGCTGTACCATGTGTTAGTTGTTTTTCCATTACTGTGATAAATCACCATGAGCAAGGTAATTTACAGAAAAAAAAGAATTTATTTGTGATTTATAGGTCTTGAAAATTAGACTCCATCATGGTGGTGACAGGCAGCAGGAACAGTAGACTGAGAACTCACATCTTGCAAACATAAGAAAGCAAATCCGATATAGGGCAAGGCCTTAAACTCTCAGAGCCCATCCATTCCTAGTCACATTTTTCCTTCAGCAAGACAACACCTGCCAAACCTTCCCAAACACCATCACCAACTGCAGACCAGGTGTCCAAATGCCTGAGACTATGGGGCCTATGTCTTATTAGAAATAACTATGGAGCATGATAACAATCACATAGTAAGCTGGCTTTAAATCCAGCAGAATTAAGACAACTGTTTATGAAGTGATATAGAAATACATATTGAAGATAAGTGCCTGGGACCATTAATGGTGTGCCATGTTCAAATTGGGTTAAAAATAATTAAGAACATATTGCCTTTGTACCTCTTATTTTTTAAATATGTTAATAAAATTAAAAGGAAAATTTATTTCAAAAACTAATAGATACAGTCTGAATGGATTAGAAAACATGAAGATCCAATAATCTTAGAAATAAATAACTCAGTGAGTCTCCCAATCCAATAGTTTGTTGCCCACAGGAAGTTCCTTTCCCTATTATATATAGATAGACGCAATGAGCAGACAGAAA